CACTCTCCTGCTGTCCCAGTGACAGACGCTAACGGTCAGCAGCTAGTTAGCCCCGATAATATGCCACTGGCTCAGGTGTGTTGATATGGAGGCTATTTTGTTTTATACATTCATGTTCGTGTGGGGAATATACGTTCAGCTTGTGAGTGTATATTCCATAGCTAGGGGATAAAGAGAAACATTATTGGAATCGTAATCTTTTTTAGCAGGAGTCTCACCTGAGCAACTTGCCTTCCACAGAGAGGGTAAAAAAAGAGATTGAAAACACACAAAGGCAGGGGGATAAGGCAGAAAGGCAGTTTGAATAGAGATCGTTGGCTCCTCAAGGTGCAGGAGAAGGCGAGACTCTCCTTGCCCTCAGGTCCTGAAAGCCGATCGCTTGGTTTTTTGAAAGAGCGGCTTTGTGAGGATGCCTCCAACCGCTCCTCTGAAGAGCGCTCACTGTCTGTTATGACTAAAAAAGAGTGACCGAGTTTTCATCACCTATAGAAGATAAAGCACGGCTTTGAAAGCGGGGGGAAAGGCAGCAGTTTGAACTTAATTCTCCCTTTTTTTGATTACAAGAGAGGCAATTGTTCTGCCTGGGCAGGCCTGGTTATTGTGCGCCGTGCGCTGGGTGTTACATTCCCGGGGTTTTCGGATGCTTATTGTAGTGCAAGTTCGCTCTCATGCTTTCATTCCCTAGTGTATTGGTTACTTTGTTGTGTAGGCTGCAGAATAGCTTGCCTATCAGGCTTAGCATGAGGGTCACTCAAGGTGGGCTGCAGTAGGTGGGTGTGTGGGTAGATGTGGATTTATTTGGCGGCATCTATCGCTGTTCAAAGCCTGGTGTGTGGGTTGCTGCCACTCGGAGGAAAACTTAGCTGTGTTTTTTTGTAGTTGGCTCGCCTGTGGGTAGCTATCATTGTATCGTTAGCTTTTTCTGTGCTCCTATTTTTTACAGATGGACGCATCGATGGTCCCATTTCCCCCCCTCTCCATTAAACTAAATCAGCCAGCAGAGTCCCCGACTGCACAGACAAAACTACTCATTAACTCTTGCAACTCACTCCAGTCTCCTTTTCTCCAAACGGGCTTTAGCTCAGAGACAACAGGGATGGGGCAGGGGAAGGAGTGACAAAGAGGGAAAAAGACTAAAGCTAGAGAGGAGGATTGAATGAGTGAAAGAGCTTCTGGGGTAGAAAAGGGGAAGAATGTGATGTCCCCGGTCTATGAGGGATTCCATTTTTGCCTTTCTAGAATAGAACAGTAAGTCACCAGTCTCTTTGTCTGTCTTTGATCTCTCAGCTCAGGGATTTGGCACCTGACAAACCCCTCTCTGTCTCTGAAAGGAGGCTTGCTGAGAGAAAGCCTCTGAGAGCGGGAGACAGAAAGAGTAAAAAAAATTAAGGAAAAAAAGAGTTAGAGAGCATCGGGAGCGAAAAAAGAGACGTATAAAAAAGATGGTGTGGGGGGAAAAAATTGGGTTAGACTTTTGAGGGCTGCATGAGAGGATATGACGAGGGCGTCTCAGCTCAGATCCCATTAAAACTCAATACACATGTGTTCCTGTGCGCCTCTATTTGCGTCTGTATAGGTTTGCCACGGCTGGTCCGGACAGTGATAAATCCAGCAAGTCTTAAGGGAGATTCCTCTCTGAAGCCACGGTCTCTTGGACCACCCACTATTGTGGTCTCTTTCCTCTCACACACACACACGAAGGCTCCTAATAGGAAGCAAATTCCCCCAGCTTTACTTGGATATCAACCTCTCTTTTCTTCCAGTTATTCCCTTTGCAGGGCAGTCGCTGCTATAAACAAGCCCTGATATGTTGACATCACATTTTCAAACACAAGTTCTGAAATCCTGAGTTTCAAACCACAGATGAAGATGCCAGAGCCTGTCTATGGCAAAACGGGGGGATTTGGAGTTCTGCAAAGAATTCTGGGACAGCCTGTGAGGGTCAGCTTGGGACAGCTTAATAATTGACGGGCAAAAAAAAAAAAAAACCTCATCAACCGTGCACAGTTTGAGGTAGGCTGCTCTTAGACTGTCTTTAGACTTTTAAGAGGCTCAAACCCAAAGGCTGTGAAGCATGGGACTCAATTAACTCTCCCACCAGCTTTTAGGATTCGGGGGTTGGGTGGGGGGCACCTTCTCAAACAGCTGCTTGACCCCGCTCTCAGCTCCGGACACTTTCCTGGTCAGCGCACATGTACAAACCCTGACTTTGTGTTTTGTCGACTGAAGCGGTCACAACCTCTCGAACAAAACCCACAAACCCTAGTGTCCTCCTGTTTCTAATGATGACACCGGGCGCTGAAAGATTCCTTTAGAGACAGGGAGATAAGACAAAGTACCCCCTTACTAATCTCCTCACTTTTTTTTTTTTGCTACTGTGAAGAAAAAGAAATGGAGGCTTCACGCACCCCTGCGGGCTACAGTCAATGAGGCCCTTAGCTTAGTGCTAGCGAGCAAAGCGACAGGGATTTAGAGCTGATTGAGGGAATGGGACTGGGCAAAGAATGGCTCAGCAGGTAGCAGCTAGCTTTGGCTCTGTTAACGCCACGCTATGCTAATCCAGCAGCTAGGGAGGAGAGTCTGCAGGCTAAATAGCCTGACTTTATTGCGCCTCCAAGACAGGGATTTCCCAGTATTTTAGAGGGTTTGTGGATTTCCTCTGCTGTTTGTGTGTGCAAGTGTGTCAGCCGGGTGGCGGAATATGTGTTTTTGTTGGAAGACCCGGCTTCCCTCTTGGTGCGGTGAACGTGGACAGGCTCTGATTTGATTTCTGGTGTGGGTAACTCATGCAAAAGTTTGTTTATTCGACTATATGCAGGTTTCCTTGATGTATTTATGACTGTGGTGTTGAAATCCATATGCCTTTCAAAACGTACTTTGAGATCCGGGTTGTGCGTGAGCTTTTGAAGAAAAGGGGAGATTGCTTTACCCCTGCAGACTGTGAGTGTGTAATTATCTGACTTATATTGGGTATGAGTTTACCCATCTGTCTTCATTGGAGTTCTTTTTTTTAACACCATAACAATATAGACAGACACTCAAGTATTTCATTCTAACAAAACCCAAACCACAGCCCTCTGGCCTCCATACCATTTGTTGACCCACTGCCAAGCACACGGCTGCCTCACTGACTGACAGGTTATTCGGTCCAATCGGTGTTGCGACTGTCTGCGCCGCACCTTTCGGAGAATTGTTCTATTGTCCTCGTCTTTCTGGTTCAGCGCTCAGGGGCTGAAACGTAACCCTGCTAGGTTTCTCCGACCATTACAGAAATGGATAGAGGAAGGAGAAACTCCTTGAAAGACGAGCCCTCCAATCAAACTGTCACTCAAAGGAAAGGCGAGCAATGTCGCCAAAAGTAGGAAAAGTGTCACTTAGGTTACCATTTCAGGCTGTGAGGTGTGTGTGTGTGTGTGTGTTAGGCCCGGGCTCACAGCCTTGTGAGAGTGACAGAGCTCCCGGTGTGCCAAGTGTGGTGGCATTTGTTTGTTAAATGGTCTGAAATGCCATCGGCTCTGGTTTCATTGCAGCTCCACATCTTGCCAACAGAGCATAGCCTAAATTTGTGAGAGAGACAAGAGGTAGTTATTTGATCTTCTCCTTTTTTTTGGTCAGAGGAAATAGCACCCTTTCCTCCAGTTCTGTTGTTTCTGGTAATGGAACGCAGGCTGGTGAGAAAGGTGAAAAGAGAGAAAGCGCTGAAGTAGAAAAACGAAGACAAAGAGAGAGAGGAAGGGGGGGGGGGGGGGGGGGGGGACTGGTGAAAGGAACAGGGGCCTCTCTGCAACATGTTGTTCTCTGTTGCTAATTGGGGGGAATTGGTCAAGCCCACACTGCTCTCTTCTTCTCTTCAGGGATAAAATACAGGTAAATTTCAAGTTCAGTGAGTAGGTAATAATCCTTATTACTGAAACTAGTGTTGAGGGACACGCTGGCGAGTCTACTGATTTAGCCTTTGGGAACAAGAGGCGATTTCTATGGGCTTTAAATGTATCCAAGTGATATCTAATAGTCCATTCGTCGTTTATGAATATATAGGTAAATCTGACATAATTTTTAAAAAGCTACACAGAGAGATGTTGCTGATGCTTTTAAGATTGCATTTCAGCAAATTCAATTCCTTTTTGGCACACACACTAAAAAAAAGATTCTTCATCCTCAATAAATGTGATGCAATAATTTTGAGTAAATTCCAACTAATATCTAAAATCAAATAATTAATCACTAAGGAAGATGTGCTTGGTGTAGACAAATCAAGGCCATTTCATTTGACTAGATTCCATTAGATGTTAGTTAAAATTTTACACTGTACTTATGTAACAAAATTACATGGAAAAGTGGCACGTAATTAAATTAGTTAAAGTCAGCATTTCATTATTCATCCAAAGCCTTTTCAAGTGTGATCAAAAACTACAAAGTAGCTACACAACCAGAAACCTTCCAGTTCTAAAAATCGTGACCACTGCCTTCAGATTCTCCACATTTGTTTCCAGTTTGCAGAGAGTACAAACCCCAGGCGACTGCATATATTAACTGTGGGTGTTTCTGCTGTGTTCACCCTCTTTGGTTTGGACTAAAATATCTCAGTAACTATTGGATGTCTTGCCATAGCATTTGCTGCAGTGTAATTGGTCCATTGCAGTCCATACAGTGGGTAAAGATTTTGTGGACTGTTGTAATAACTTTGGTGTTTCGCTGACTTTTAATCTTAATCTATATAATCAGATCTAAATTTTTGTTCCATACTTTGATTTGTGAGCAAAAACCCTTCAATGACATTCCAATGAATTTTAGCTGCAAATGCTGTGTCGAAGGACAGAAGCATACAGCTAAAACCACCACTAATTTATTAGTGGGCTGCTTGGGAACTACAGCCTCCCAGCTTCTTCCAGAACTTTCCCCTCTAGTACAAAAGCATTTGAGTCATAAACATGTATTTCATATTGTCCAGATTTGCAACCCTAACCCGACTTCCTCTCTGTGTTTTTGCTATCTTTCAGCTTGTAAGATTGGTTACTACCGTGCTCTGGCCACCGATGGCGCCTGTTCCAAGTGTCCTCTTCACAGTTACTCTGTCAGAGAAGGCTCCACCTCCTGTGCCTGCGACAAGGGATACTTCCGCTCCGAAACGGACCCGGCATCCATGCCCTGCACCCGTAAGTACACCCACATGTAGCATAACGATACACAGCACGCAGTTATGTTACCAGTAGGCCGTGACAGGCTGTGGTTTGCAGTGATTTTCTAAACAGCCAAAGATAGCTGTAACCAAACACTGTTTTGGAAAGGAACCCCGACACACACACTGAGATAGACCGCCTCCACCGAAACACGGGCATTGATTCTAAAACATGCATTGCCAGGCCCTCACACCCACACACACATGTACACGTACACGTATACACACACTGACAGATAATCATGCAAATTGTGCAAACATAAAAAAGGCGCATGTTGGTTTAATAGGCGTCTTTTGATCTCAGGTGGTACTTAGTCATCGGTCACAGTGACATAGAACTAATGAGGGTAAAAACCGCTGCATCCCAGATTCAGTCTTCCAGACGGTGAACAGGAATGAAACTGTTTGGGGGAGGTGATGAAAAAGGAAAACAAGGGCAAGACATATGTAAAATAAAGCAATGGGGACCAGGGGGATAAAGGGAAGAAAGCTAGAAGACAGCAATGAATCAAGCTAGAGGAAGGTGTTCAGTGGTAAATTCATCTGTGTGTGTCTTCACTTTCCTCCTTCCGGTTGTATGAGTGAACTGCTAGTGAATCTGGTCCTTCCAAGCCTACCCCACTAACTCACCACGTCTGTGATAACAAATATTGCCAACAATCCTGCTGCCTAATGATACCTCTTGCCTTTTTTTAGACCTCGTTCCCACTCTGAGTCACAGAACTGGGAGTTCATAGTGGCAGAAATGCACACAAACACGAAGAGAACAGGAAAAGCCACATAACACCCGAATCCCTGCACTCCCATCTTACGGGAAAATAATAAGATTGATACATTGGGGCAAAAAAGTATTTAGTCAGCCACCGATTGTGCAAGTTCCCCCACTTAAAATGATGACAGAGGCCAGTAATTTGCACCAGAGGTACACTTCAACTGTGAGAGACAGAATGTGAAAAAAAAAATCCATGAATCCACATGGTAGGATTTGTAAAGAATTTATTCATAAATCAGGGTGGAAAATAAGTATTTGGTCACCTCAAACAAGGAAAATCTCTGGCTCCCACAGACCTGTAACGTCTTCTGTAAGAAGCTTTTCTGTCCCCCACTCGTTACCTGTATGAATGGCACCTGTTTGAACTCATCATCTGTATAAAAGACACCTGTCCACAGCCTCAAACAGTCAGACTCCAAACTCCGCCGTGGCCAAGACCAAAGAGCTTTCGAAGGACACCAGGAAAAGTATTGTAGACCTGCACCAGACTGGGAAGAGTGAATCTACAATAGGCAAGCAGCTTGGTGTGAAAAAATCAACTGTGGGAGCAATCATCAGAAAATGGAAGACATACAAGACCACTGATAATCTCCCTCGATCTGGGGCTCCACGCAAGATCTCATCCCGTGGGGTCAAAATGATCATGAGAACGGTGAGCAAAGATCCCAGAACCACACGGGGGGACCTGGTGAATGACCTGCAGAGAGCTGGGACCAAAGTAACAAAGGTCACCATCAGTAACACACTACAACGGCAGGGAATCAAATCCCGCAGTGCCAGACGTGTTCCGCTGCTGAAGCCAGTGCATGTCCAGGCCCGTCTGAAGTTTGCCAGAGAGCACATGGATGATACAGCAGAGGATTGGGAGAATGTCATGTGGTCAGATGAAACCAAAGTAGAACTTTTTGGTATAAACTCAATTCGTCGTGTTTGGAGGAAGAAGAATACTGAGTTGCATCCCAAGAACACCATACCTACTGTGAAGCATGGGGGTGGAAACATCATGCTATGGGGCTGTTTTTCTGCCAAGGGGACAGGACGACTGATCCGTGTTAAGGACAGAATGAATGGGGCCATGTATCGTGAGATTTTGAGCCAAAACCTCCTTCCATCAGTGAGAACTTTGAAGATGAAACGAGGCTGGGTCTTCCAACATGACAATGATCCAAAACACAGCGCCCGGGCAACAAAGGAGTGGCTCCGTAAGAAGCATTTGAAAGTCCTGGAGTGGCCTAGCCAGTCTCCAGACCTCAACCCCATAGAAAATCTGTGGCGGGAGTTGAAAGTCCGTGTTGCTCGGCGACAGCCCCAAAACATCACTGCTCTCGAGAAGATCTGCATGGAGGAATGGGCCAAAATACCAGCTACTGTGTGTGCAAACCTGGTAAAGACCTATAGTAAACGTTTGACCTCTGTTATTGCCAACAAAGGTTATGTTACAAAGTATTGAGTTGTATTTTTGTTATTGACCAAATACTTATTTTCCACCCTAATTTACGAATAAATTCTTTACAAATCCTACCATGTGAATTCATGGATTTTTTTTCACATTCTGTCTCTCACAGTTGAAGTGTACCTCTGGTGCAAATTACTGACCTCTGTCATCATTTTAAGTGGGGGAACTTGCACAATCGGTGGCTGACTAAATACTTTTTTGCCCCACTGTACATTCGTTTGAGAGCCGTTTGTGTTATGAATGAGTAATTTTAGTGTCATGAAGTAATTTTAACAACGAAAACATCTGTTAAGGTGCTTAGCTCATAGTTGGCTCGCCTTTCTGTCAAGTTCCTGAGGAGTCATCACTCAGCAAATCAGCTCACTGAATCAGAGTGGATGAAGTACCCCCCCCCAGCCCTAATTATTTCCCTCTAGCATAGTATCTATACAGGATCCAAAGCAATACACCACTGTGAGCAATTTGTAAAATTGGAAATGTTCGACTTTGCTACAAAGTACTAGAGAGTTTACACGTATTTTCCAACTGTCATTAAACATGAAAGTAGGAAAGTATTTACTCAGAGCAGCGAGTACAAAAGCTTTTATGCAGTGGCTGGATGTGTCACATAAAGTGGCAATAGAAAGGAGTGAAATGGGTATTTTATTTGAAGGACAGACAACAATGTAGAGCTTTAACAAAAAACTCCATTAAAGGGGACCTATTATGCATTTCCTCTTTTTCTGAAGTACACGTACTGTTATAATGGTGGATGCTCATTAAACATGACCGAGGTTTCAAATAATCGGCTCGCCGTGTAAACACATAAATCCAGAGGTGGGACCAAGTCATTGTTTTGCAAGTCTCAAGTAAGTCTCAAGTCTTTATCCTCAAGTCTCAAGTCAAGTCTCAAGTAATGTCAGGCAAGTCAGAGTCGAGTCTCAAGTCACTGGTGTAAAAGTCCGAGTCAAGTCACAAGTCTGAAACTTTGAATTTCAAGTCCTTTCGAGTCTTTAAAAAAAAAAAAAGAAGAAAAAAGTATGTTGCAGTTATGCTAAATGTAAATATTAGACCATGTAATTTTTAAATCTGTGTTTTTCTCAACACATGACAAAATAGTGAACTTAGAAAATATACACAAATTGTGAAATTGCACCTCTATAAAATGCAGCTCAATTAAACCTAGCTCCAAGAATAATTTTCACGGACAGTTCTGAGATAAGCTGCATGTTATTCTTGGATGCGGTTGTAGGACCGGTGTTGTGCCAAAAAGTGATTGTCTGCCAAAAACTGATTTCCGGTATTTGCCAAAAAGCGATTGCTCATATTTAAAGTGCTATAAGTAACTTGTTGGGCTATAATATGTTAAACATATGTCAAATGCATCCCTTATGGATGACATAAAGTCATCTTGAGCCACAAACAACATTCGTGTAACAAGATACAAGCCGCAATCAGTTTTTGGCAGCGACTTTTATATAACCTTTATTTATGCAGTAAAAAAAATCTCATTAACATTAAAAATGTATTTTGTAAGAGTAAGTTGCCCAACAGGACAGCAGAAATGGCAGCAAATATTACAATAGTTCTGTAAAAATATTTTAAGTGGGGATAAAGGACCGGATTGGTTATAATGTAAGTACAAGTTGTAAAGATACTTAAAAAACAGATAATTTTTTAATTCTTTATGTAACCCCTTTGTATCCCCTGTTCACCGAAGTCTATTTACGAACATACGTAAAGATATTACACATAAAAAATACACAGAAACACTGGAAATCACTTTTTGGCAGACAATCACTTTTTGGCACAACACCGGCTTTAAAATCGCATGACAAAAATATCATATACATTAAAAAAACTGCATCACCAACGTAGCCTGGACAACATTTGCTAGTTAGATGAAGTCAGCTATCTCATCGTAGCATATTTATATGCATATTTATAATTATACGGTTCTTGTGAGTGCATACACTCGTGAAGTTTAGTAACTTCCGGTCACTGCAACAAGCCCAGGTACAGTTTACCGACGGATGGGTACAGGACCTTGAAATGCACCGTGTAGAAAGTAAAGACCATCGTACGTATCATAAGTTTACCAGTCTCACAAATCGTCGTCATAAATACACAATCGTTAACCGTTTATTAATATAACCTTTGAGCTTAACGGTAATTAATTAGTAGTGGAAATAATTTCTGGTAGCATCACAGAAATGTAGCAGTGACAATAATATTGTATGCTGTAATCGCACTGGACAATTAGTGATACAAAACAACTGTCTTATTCTGTGAATAAAAGTATATGTTTTTGTCAATGTACCATAATAACAGAAGCGAAACGCAATATTGTGTCAGGACAATTCACTATTTATGCACAATAAATAAAGGAGCATAGCGCGACAATTTCTGTTCAGTGCCAGACTTGCTTGTAACCTATATCACCAATTATGTTATGAAAATGACGCATTAACTACAACAGCAGACTGACCTTTGTGTAAATGCTTGGAGCAGACTAACCTGTGAGCTGGAGTGTTCTGGGACGTTATATTTGATCTTTGAATGGCTGCAATCCAGTCGCGTCTTTGTTACTTCGGAAACATGGCTCGAACAATTTCTCTTCAACGACGTAATCCGATAACAACCGATCTCTTTACCCGTCGGCTTCCCGTGGCTGTCATGCGACCGGCTATTGTAGTTAATAATACAACAGCTTCTTGACATTTTTGTGTTTCTTTTTATCGCTGTGTGACTGATTTCAATTGAAAGCCTG